AGCTCGGATCACAGAGCAATACGTGTGGTTCTGGGTCTCAGGGTTCCGCCTGGGGGCAACGCTCGGTGGACTACTCGACGTTTCAACACCCGGAAGGCTGAATGGGGTCGTTTCGCCGAGGAAATGCGTAGAGGGTTGGCAGAAAGGGGCCTCACCCCGGAGGCCATTGAAAGGGTTACCGACCGAAACCAACTAGAAACGGCGGTAACCCAGTACATAGAGTGCGTGGAGGAGGCGTGCACTAAAGCCATACCCCCCCCAAAACCCCCCAAACGTAAAAAACGCTTTCCTTGGTGGAACGATGAGCTTGAAAGGCTGCGTCGTGATGTTAACACGAAACGCCGCAGGATCCGATGTGCGGCGCCGCGTCGCAGAGAATGTGTGGTTGACGAATACCTGATAGCCAAGGCGGAGTATGAACGGAGGGTTGTCAACGCTCAAACGGAGGGATGGAAGGCTTTTACCTCGGTGCAAGAGCGGGAGTCTATGTGGGATGGTATCTACCGGGTACTGAGGAGAGCGTCGGGTCACCGCGAGGACCAGCTTCTCGTGGAGGGAGGAGTTGTGCAGAGCCCGGAGCAGTCGGTGGCGTTGCTGGCCAGGACATTCTTCGCCGAAGACGACGACGGCACAGACTCTGAAGTCCATGCCGTCGTCCGAAGCCGAGCGGACCTGGTCGGCGTACGCTTACCTGATGATACCGATGATCCCCCGATCACCCGGGGTGAACTGGTTCGGACGCTGCGCAGCTTCAACCCTAAAAAGGCACCGGGTCAGGATGGATTCACCAGCGACATATGCTGGCACGCCATATGCGCGGGCGAACAGCTGTTCCTGACCATTCTGAACCGATGTCTTGACCTGGCGTGCTTCCCAGCGCCGTGGAAGGAGGCTTCTGTCGTGGTGCTCAGGAAACCGGCTCGTCCAGACTATGCCCGCGCAAAGTCGTACCGCCCCATTGGACTCCTTTCCGTCTTGGGCAAGATCTTCGAGAAAATTCTGTGTCGTCGAATCCGATGGCACGTCTTGCCCAAGTCCAATGCAAGGCAGTACGGCTTCACACCGCAGCGGAGCACGGAGGACACGCTGTATGACCTGATGCAGCACGTCAGAGGTGTTCTTTCCAGGAAAGAGACCGCCCTCATGGTCTCTCTCGACATCGAGGGGGCGTTTGACAACGCGTGGTGGCCGGCCATAAAGTGTAGAATGATTGAGAAAGGTATTCCCGTAAACCTAAGGCGTCTTGTTGAGGATTACTTCAGAGACCGAAGCGTCGCCGTGCACTACGCGGGAAGGACCGTGCGGAAACCACAGACCAAAGGCTGTGTCCAAGGCTCCATAGGTGGACCCCTGTTTTGGAACATGCTGCTGGACCCCCTCCTGGATAACCTGGATAGGCTGGGCGCGTACGTGCAAGCGTTTGCGGATGATATCGTGTTGGTGTTCTCTGGGCACACGGCACTCGATATCCAGCGGGATGCCAATGCCGCCCTGGCTGTAGCGCGGGAGTGGGGTGTCATGAATAAGCTGCGCTTCTCCGCCGAAAAAACTCAGGCCATGGTCGTCACGCGCAAGCTTAAGTATGACACTCCATTTGTACAGCTGGGCGGGGTTGACATCTCGATGGTTACCGAACTCAAGATCCTCGGGGTCATCGTGGACAGTAAACTAACTTTCAATAGCCACATTGCCTACGCATGTCGTAAGGCGACTGGCCTGTATAGGAAACTGTCAACGATGGCTCGGGTGGAGTGGGGCCTGAATTCGGAGATCATCAGGACGATATATACCGCGGTCGTAGAACCGACCATCTTGTACGGCGCGAGTTCCTGGGCGAAGGCCGCCGAAAAGATCTCTGTGCAAAGGTCCTTTGCTACCGTCCAGAGGGGATTTGCACAGAAGATTGCTAGGTCACATCGTACGGTGTCGCTCAACGCAGCGCTCACGCTGGCCGGTCTCCTCCCGCTCGATCTTCGGGTATGGGAGGCGGCCCGGTTGTTCGAGAGCAAACGGGGACGCCCGATCGACGAGCTGGACTCCCGCGAACTGGAGGGGCGTGTGGCCTTTACGGAGGCTCCTCATCCCGCCAGTGAGCCAGACGTAAGTTACGTTTGTTTGGACAGTATGCTCCCCGAACATGTAGCAGAGCTACACCTTCCCGCGCATCTGATTTACACCGACGGTAGTAAGTCGGATGACGGGGTCGGGGCGGCATACACTTACTGGCGGGATGGGGTTGAGGTTCGGACGAAGCGGTTGAGGCTGGAGAAGGTGTGCACCGTCTTTCAGGCGGAGTTGCTCGCGATAGCTAGGGCTACGGACCTGGTTGTCGAGAGGAACTTCGACGATGCGGCGGTGCTAAGCGACTCCCGTTCCTCACTCGATTTGATCCGTAACCCGGATACGCACCATCCCCTCGCTACCCATATTCGGCAGAATATCAGGGAGTTGCAGGGGAGAGGTAAAACTCTCCGGTTCTGTTGGGTGAAGGCTCACGTCG